ACAACCATTAATACTGGAAGCAGCATTACCTTGTTCTCCAACAACTTTTTAAAGTCATACCCTCACGTACACTTTCTTGCGTCTATCCGTCAAAGTAATTTAGCCTGTACTGCCTATCTTGTGAGTATGTCTTGAATCTACTGATAGATTTTGAACAGGAATCTGCTTTTTCCTAGGTTGCTCAAGGGGAAGCAGTGAAAGTTGGTTGAATTTTCCCCTTTCGAATCACGATGGGGTTGCTAAAGCGTGTTGCTTGAATATTGATGGCCATTATTAGTTGTTGGGACGACTTTCAGTTAGTATGAAAGTGCATGAAGAGAGGATTCATAAGTTGCTGCAGTACAACGAGCATTAACCGTAGTCTTCTTGTTAGATCGGCTTTGGAATCTCTTTTCATTTACTTCCATACGAAATGAACGTCTCCTCAACAATGTTATCTCAGGAGATTCGTCGAATTCCAGCTACTCTTAATACTATTAGTAGGCAGAAGATAAGACCTTCTTTTGCCAAAATGTCTCAATGTGCCCCTGTTCGTGACAAAGCCGGACTATGCCCAGATCAGATCTTCCGTTCGACCCGCACCGTTATTCGAACTCAACTTGGGGTCAACTCAACCAACCCACCTCCCGCACCGGAGGCATCAGTTGAGGCTCGTGTCGACATTGTGTGCTTTACGTACGCACACAAACAAATATATATATTTATTTATAAGCTGTCTCGAAACTCTACTTACTTACGAAAAAAAGATATATTTTATAGACGGGAGCAGTTCAGACCTGGGGACACAGTTCGCTTTGATGCCGATCGGCTCTTTCCCGTCGACATGACCTTGACGGCTGACAAAGGGTCATCTGCCGGAGTAGGAATTGGCGTGTCGTGTGCAATAAGAAGGACGGTTTCAACAAAGCAGTCACACGTTTTCAGAGCAATCCATCTCACGCTGGTCAGAGAAGGGAGCCATGAGTCGGTCTGCTTTGTTCAGTGCTCACTGGAAAGTGCCACCGGTCAATCGAAAGATCTTCCTCTTTCGCCCGCATCAGCCTTCATAATGTATTACAGTTGCCTAGAAACTGTGGCCTGAGCCGTAGGCATGGTTTCGGCAAGAGTAGAACCAATATCAACTCATCGATTGTCTGCAGACTTGAGCCTAAGCCTAGTTAGTTGTTGGTCAACTGTGCCTTAGAGACTGTGCTGTGAGTTGTGAGGTAGGACCAGGTGAAGAGCAGCCTACAGTCGTCAGAAGGAGCAATTAATATGGTTGCCACCACCAACTTTGCTTGAGCCTGCCTGATTAAGCACAGGTCAATCTAGGAGAGGCTTGCATGGTTCAGTCGATTTAAGAGAAGGATTTGCCAAAAAGCCCATGGAAGGCTTCGTCGGGAGTTGGTACGATTGGCAGTTGAAAATGTCCATTCGCTCACAACAGACGATGTTCAAGTTCAGATGAGTCCCGCCTGAGAGACAACGTTTCGGACTTCACAAATATTTCTGTCAGTCTCTAATGGCTTCTGGTTCGCAGAAATTTCGCCACACCACCCGTCTCAGACCATCGACTTGTGGGCCGGTCTGCCGGGCCGGAGACGGTTGGCAACTCATCGAAGCTTATCGGTTGCTGCCTTTTCATGTTTGTCGTCCCACTGGAGGTGTTGATAAAGCCTAGGCGACGTGGAAACTGAGGTCCATTAGGGATGAGAATAACTTTTAGGAGTTCAAGGCTATGTGAAAGTTATTGAAAATATAAGGTCTACTCATAAAATTGTAGGAAAAATTTAACTACTAGTCCTCTTATCATCTGAAAGGAAATAGTGTTGATACACATCATATCTAAATGATGTACCTATAGTCACGAAAAGGTTACATATAAAAGGAAACATATGGTATGCTCTTGTGAGTCATATGACGGACACTTTCACCGGAATCGAGAGACATTGCCATAGAAACAGCATCCAGAGGAATGGACAAGTGTATGAATAGAAACTGGGTTTCAAAGAATTACTCAATGAAATATTGTGCCATAACTCTCCATTTCGGAGGGAAAGTTGGTTGAAAGGGTTTCGTGAGGTAGTCTCACCGGAAGCCGAAGGGAGATTGTCGCGTAAGGAAGACTGTTGAATGGTGCGAAGAAGTCCTCGGCTCACCGTCCTGCGAATCTGATG